TTGGACCAAAGCTATTTTGAATGGTTTTTAGACTTTAAAACCCTCTCTTTTAAAATATTTTTGAAATAAAGTTTCTACGATGTTTCGAGGCTCACATTTTGTCAAAAAAATGCGCTTTTCGATAAACCGAGCAAGGACAAAGTGGAAATGAATGAAAGAGAGATGAAATCTTTGAAAAATCTTTCAAAAAACCTTGCTTAGCGGTTTGAAGTGGAAGAAAAGAGGAGAAGAGGGGAGAAGCCAAGTTGGAGAAGAAGATAGGCAAGAATTGCTAAGAGAGGGACGAGCAGTCCTTGCTAAATCAAGCTTATTTGTCTATACACTTTGAGTTAAGCTATGAGACCACCACCATTGGAAAGAAGACTTCCGGGGCTTCATTGTTTATTCAAGAATCTCTTAAATCAGAGACCGGAGGGCGGAGATATGATTGGTTGAAGTTGGGCATCATCCCGGTTGGACCGAAACTGAGCAGCCTTCACTAAAACAAGCATAACTTTTTTCACAATTGGAATTTTGATGCAAGGCTGGTGCCATTGGAAATATTACTTCCGGGGCTTCAATTTTGACACAAGAATGACCTGAAAGGGAGTTCATATGAAGAAGTTATGCCCGTTTGAAGTTGGACCTACAGAGCAGATTTTTCCTGCCGACCGGCCAAAACAAATGGCCGACCGACCAAATAGATGGCCGACCGGCCAGAAAAGATGGCTGACCGACCAAGTTTGCTAGCTGACAACCTTCCGGAGTATTCTACAGATTGAATGGATGCCAGCTGTGCCAGCTGGAATGCACAGACTCTGCTCCCCATGCACGTGTGTGGCTGTTTTTCACACTTTGCACCCCTTTTGACCCTCTTTTTTGCACCCTTTGCTCAAAGCTTCTTGAGGAAGCTTTGACCCCTTGTCTTGGCTTCCTCAAGAAGCTTGCACCTTTTCATTAGCTTCTCTTAGAAGTTTGGTCCCTTTGACCCTTTTGTATAGCTTCTTTGAGAAGCTTTATGCCATTTCCTTGCTCTATAAAAGAACCCATCCTCCTCCATTGTTTTGGTTCAGCAAAATCAGACCTAATACATACATACAACATATATATCACCCTCTCTCTCTATATCTCCCTCTCTCTCTACATTTGGGTGTGTTAGAGTGTTCAAAGACCCTTGTTCTTGGCCTATTGCACCACACCTCATAGCCATGCACCACTACCATTGGACTGAGATTCTTGGGAGGTTTTATTGAGCTCCAAAAGCTGGTTTTTGGCCCCTGAAGCTGCTGGTCTCGAATTTGGTCTTCAAGGGTAAGTTTCTTCCCATTTTTAGCACTTTCTTGTACCTCATTTTAGCCTGTCTTGCTTGCTGATTTGAGCTTAGTGTATAACATAAAAAAGTTCTGTTTTTTTGTGTTTAAGATACTTCATTAAAGCCACTTTGGTGTTTGGGGTTGTTTGACCCCTCTTAGGCCTTGTTTGGCCTCATTTTTGTGCATTTTTAGTGAGCTCCGGG